AGCAATATTAACTGTGCAAAGCCCTAACAGTGAGAATGAACACAAAACAGTCTTGTAGCACCTTAAAGACTAAATGATTTTACTGTAGCGTAATACTTCTATGGGTTACAGTCCACTTCATCTGATGTAAGAAGTAATACCTCAGTTAACGAAGTAACCTCAGTGGGATAGATCAGGGATTGTAATGGGGGGGGGGAGGGTGTTGGACAAAATTACAATGCACAAAGTACTGAACAGTGATAATTATTGTAGCAGTGGCTAATGACAATTGCCCGATGGCTAACACATTTCTGCACTGCTGAGGAACTTCACATACACACTGTGATAAACGAATGTTTGTCCCTCTTCAAGTCACTGGAGATAAGAAATGAAACTCTTGAGGAACCTCAGAGCAGCCATTTGTGAACACAGGAACTTCAAGGCAGATTTTAATGCAAAGCAGATCTACAAGAATCCATCAAGAAGCTCAACTCTTATCTCATGTCAATCTCAGTACAAGGACTTTTTAATCACACGACATGTGATAGAATCAACCAACTAATGCAAAAATGCCTGTGACAACTCTATCATGCCACAAAACTATTTTGATGATGTTGTTGCAACAGACTAACACAATTACTCACTCTGGAAATGACTGGCACTGGTCATTCACAAAACTGCTGAAAACAAACATCCTGGATGTAGGTAAACTAGTTAATATTTGTAATACGATAAGGAACTATTAATCCCATTTAGACCACTGGGTAACAGACGGGAGCTTCCAAATATATATATTTTTAATGAGTGTTTTTCCCACTATTACCATTGGTTTCTAATTATTCCCATTTCTTTTTTGTGTGCTCACAGGTTGGCCTGTTTGTTGAATGCAGAAAACAAAAGGGCACTGATGACAGGAAACAGCACGTACCCCATTGGAAGGTGAGCAAGGGAGCGACCAGGAACACCCGATATTGTGACACTGTTAGTTCATGTCATGGCATTGCCAGAGTAGTGGTAAGGACAAATTTGGTGTCTTGGTTTGCTGCCAACAGGTTCCTCAGCATTTCTCCACAGAGCGGTGATCTCACCAGCATACCACCTTGTATACATATAATATCCATGGATGCCAAACAGTTAAGATATTCCCCTGGATCAGAGACTACCAGGTAATGGAAGGAACCCCAAGCAAGGGCTAAGAAAAAAAATTCTTCTTGAAACCCTGGAGAACAACTGCTAGTTCGAGTCAGCGATACTAGCCTAGATGGGCCATTGATTTAAACTAGATATAAAAGGCAGCTTCCCACATTCCTAGCAACGACCTTGGTATTGTCTACATAAATTCTGGTGTGAAAGGATTAAGAGCTGTCTCTTGTCTGCTAAAGGCGAAGGTTGTCTATGGGCTGATCCCCCTAAGGTGAACACAGGGAGTGAAGACACAGGACTTCTGTCTGGTGGATCTGGACTCACTACAACAGGAGTGGAGAAGCTGTGGCCTACATAACTTACTGAGATTGTAAGTTTAAGGTGGATCACAACAGAACAAACTTGAGGGCTAAAGATGGATACTGGATCTGCAAAGACTGAAGTCAGCCAGTTTCAAAATAAGATCAGGGACATAAACATGCTGAGGCAATTGTATGTATTTTGTGTGAGAGGGCAGCCAGCAGATCACAGGCATGAAATTTGGCTGACTATAAAAGAAAGCTATAAGAGGGTCTAAACTGGGCTTTCCCTTACTGGCCAGGGTCTACTTCAACAAAGGAAACCATGGGGTGGGATGAGCCCCTGGAGATAAGGTTTCAGCAATGGACTGTCATTAGCAAATGTGTTCTCACACTCCTTTTGACATCAGACATTAAACAACATTAATGTAAAGGAAGGCTGTGCCACACATCAGACTGGGCTGTGTAAGGAAAAAGTAGGCTGAGAAGGAAGCTACTTGGATTACATTCTAATCAAATTAGATTTAAAAAAAAAAACCCTAAAATTGGCATCTTCTAAAGTTTTGATGAGAATGGCCTTTATTCATTCATTGAGAAAAGTACTTTTCACCCTGTTTTGATATTATCCTAGCTAAAAATTAGATGGTACTGACAGTATCCCAGGAGGCACAGTTGGGTCCCTGACTATCCAGGAACAAAGACATTTCTCCCAGCCGCTATGAGCGACTCCACCTGGAACCCCACTGTATCAATCGATAAATTTCATTGGAATACACATAGCACATTCCTCCATTACATCTCAACACACTATCCCAACTACATAGCCTTATGTTGTGCCTGCATTTCCTCTACTTAATAAAGGCATTACCTCTGCATAAATGCTATTTTTATGGCTAATGCACATACACTTACTTCACAGCGCAAATTCTTACCCCCACCATCAGTTGCGCATCAATTAGCTGAGAACAACTCCATTCAAAAAAACAAAAACCCAAACATAAGACCTATCAATAACGTAATTTGTTTTAGGAGACAATTGGGGTATTAATCCAACCAACCCCTACAATGGGCCTTCCCCCAGTGAAGCTAGCCACTGGCCTCAAGGCCCATGCTTGCTCCAAACCAGTTGCAGAAACAGCTGATTTGAGGAGTCCCATACAATGAATGGGAATCCTGACTTGGTCCTCGATAAGTGGCTCCAATACTCATATTCCAAATGCAAACAAAGGAAAATATCTGCCAGCCCCAGACAATTAATTTCCCTCTTCTTACAAATAATGGGAAGAACGACATTAGAGAGAAAGAGGTAGTTAATGCTATCCATTCTGTTTCTCTGCTTGGTCAGTGTAAGCCTGGCCTGGCTTTAGTGCAGGTAATTCCTCCACTCTCAGGTGTCCTTAAATGCCCCCCCCCCCGGGATTGGTGTGTTAAAGAGGTAAGGCTTAAAAATATGGCCCTGAAGTGTCTGGTCCTCTGAACTTCTGGCACAAAGCAATTTTGAATGAAGGCAAAGATTAACGCTGATGACCTCATTTCACTCTACTTTTCACTTGAGCCAGTGAGTGGTGTGAGATGGAACGGGAGTGAAGAACAAAGAAGTTGTATTCATTCATTAAGCACCTTGTTCTTTGCAACACACTTGAGCAGCGCTGGCCTCTTCCCCTGTCCCATTCCCATTCCTACTTCGTTTCACAGAGAAAGGCATGTATGAAGAACAGAGGTTCATGCTTGTACCTGTCAGCAGACACCCCATTATTTCCAGGGTTCCTGATGAGGCACAGAGCTTGACATGCTGCTCCCCATGTGGAGAAAACGATGATGGATAAGGGAGGGGGGTTCCACATTCTTCCAAGCATGTGGCTAAGAACCAAATACATAACGTGAGCAGGGCTACAGAAATGACACAGAACAGGGAACAAAGAGAAGAGCAAGGCGACTTTGTGTGGCTGGTGTGTATGTCCATGCACATTCCCAGAACCGGCCATTGCAGTCTTGTACATATATGTGAGTGGCTTGGCTTCAGTTTCTTCTCAGCTCTTATTTTTATCATTTATGTCCATCAGAGTTTTGGATTAAATGTATACAGTGACAAAAGAGGAGGGAGCACGCTTTGGAGGAAAAACAACCAGTACCAGTCAGATTAAAAAAGTGATTTTTTTTATTTTTTAAATTAATAAAAAACCTTCAACCTGTTTAAGCAAGATTCTGATTTTAAAACCTAAAAAAGAAGAAGAAGAGTCTCAACTTCTCGCCTGCCACTGGATGTAACGGAGCTCTGTGAAGCCCTCCTTCAAAAGATCCTGTCTTCTTGCATGTGTGTGTGTGTGTGTGTGTGTAAGATGATTTTTATATATCTATCTAGCTACCTATCTAAGCAGTTTCCCTTCTGGCTTAGCCTCCCAAATGCTTAAGCATTGTCCTTTTAAAAGAGGGAAACACATTGAGAATCAAGGGGAGGGGGAAAAATAATTCCCAAAGGAGAGGGGAACAAAAGTGGTGGTAGTAGTAGTGGAGGCAAGTTAAGAACAGATTTAAGTCCATGGTACAGAGTAAGACACAGTCAGTTTCAGCTACCTGGGGCACATCTGCCGCAATCATCAAAAAAAAAAAGCTTCAACAGGCCAAAACTGGGGTGGGGGAAGAGTTGAAACCCAAACGAGAGCATTCCCACCCCGACTCCAAAATAAACCACACCCCTTGTACACAGCCAGAAGGATTTGGTTATTGACATTATTTTCCCAGAGTGTGCATGTACCGGCTCCCCTTGAAGATGGCAGGGAAATATATACCACTTCCATGCATGCACCAAATCATGGGCAGAATTCGACATGCTACTCAAAATAAAAGAGAGAGAGAGAGCCCCCACGATGTATCTAATAGCAGAGGCATTTTGCACTACTCCGTCATTTCTTTCCAGGCTCCTTGTGTGGCTTACAGGCCAGCTCTGCAGCAGAAAAGAAAAAAGAAAAAAGTCCCCTTCATTCACGACACAAGGCAGCCAGATTCTTTCCCGCAGGTGACGCCACAGCCACGTAGGGTCTCTGAAGTACCTGTGTTTCAGCAGGGACTTTTCGCATCCCTTCTGGCTCCTGGCACACACAAACCTAAATTTGACGCCTGTCGTGTGAGACCAGTGGTTTCCTTTAGCAAGGGATTTCCTCACAGCCCCTCAACTAGAACTAGTACAGGCCTCTTCCGACAACCAGAAACCAAAAGGAAGGGGAGGGCAACAAAAATAAGGGAAATGGCCAGTGTGAGCTCTTTGTTCCCCTGGTTTTCAAGGGAAACAAACCCATTTGGATCCAACATGGCCGCCGTTCTTTCCAAGCAGTGTTCTCAGAAAAGCCACCTGGATCTTTGCAATTCTTTCATTTGTGATGTATATACATTAAGATATATTTATATATTTATATATTATAGTTATATATATTTTTTCCTTTAAAAAAGAGAAGAG